CAGGATAACGCAGGAGTAAATTCCACCCCACCACCAAACATAGTCAAAGAAGCAAAAACATGAAACCCAGGGTCACAAACTCATATCCACACAACTGAATATATATGTGTGTGTGTGTGTGTGTGTGTGTGTGTGTGTGTGTGTGTGTGTGTGTGTGTGTGTGTGTGTGTGTGAGAGTGAAAAGAGTGTATATAAATATAATTATTTATATATTATATGCGCGGTACTTATTAGAAAGCGCTCAATATCAAAGATAGAGCTAACATATTTGGTTGGATTGATGTGAGTTTGTGACCCTGGGTTTCACGCTTTTGCGATCGTCAGACAAAAGCGTGAAACCCAGGGTCACAAACTCACATCAATCCAACCATAAATATATATATATATATATATATATATATATATATATATATATATATAAATTAACCAGTCAAGCGTTTTAAAATAAGGCAGCTGACCTGAAATTGGTAGAAAATCAAAATGGCTTTAAATGTTTGTTATATGCACTTCAATATGTTGCTGCTACAATTTTGTTAAATGCTAGTTGGTTGATTTTTATATAGAGGGCATCAAGAATTGTAAATTTTTGTTTTTTGTTTTCATAGTGTTGTCAACAAGTGTGCGTTTCTAAATGTTCTGCAATACAACTTGTATCCGACAATTGTAAAGTGGCTTCATAATGTTTTGGTAGTCAAAGTATATATATATATATATATATATATATATATATATATATATATATATATATATATATATATATGAAGAAAATACTAGTGAATACTAGACCCGGCTTCTTTAATATTTCCCATTTTCTGGCAAGATTAATGCTGGACAAACGTACTTATAAATTTTAGATTAAAATAAAATTCTTTTTCATTTAAAATATACTCTATTTTAGGAATACATTTTCACAACATCCCCCACGTGACGCCGACGTGATCGTATTGCGAAACGGAACGCTGATCTTAAAAATTTCAGTTATTCTGTTTTGATTAGGCTTATATCTATCGTCTTTTCATTTTGACTTGAATATCGTCTAATTTTAATTATGTTTCAATAACTATGTCCTGAAGAAGGTCTACTAGACCGAAACGTCTGACGTCGACATTGAAACAACATTAAAACAGCATACTTGCATATTCGGATTTTTGTTTTTTCCATATTTTTCTTCATACCGTCGGATCTATATACACATATTTGCTTATATATATATATATTGTCAGAGATACAATCACTCAAAGAACAGTTAAATTAATATACAATCTTGGTCTTTTCCCAAGCACCAGCTGAGGGAGAAAAGTTATTGTCTATGATTAAGTTGATTGTGTTAGGTTTAGTTAAATTTTGGGTTCAGTGGGGAAGATATTAGTACTTATGACATATATTAGGACATTTTCATCTTGTTTATAGTTAGAATGCATTTGATTACGGTATAGTAGCTATGTTATGTTTAGGATTATTTGAGCAAGTATTATATTCTTTTTTTATTTATGTTAATATTTCTACTGGTTCATCTAAACAAGCAACCAACGATTCTTGTTTATTCTAAAAGTACTAGTACATATTTAAAGCACAATGAACAACAATACATTGAGGTTGACATGCCACTAAATAAAATCAAGCAAACCAAACCAATCAAAATATTTAGAGTTCGGAATTAAATAACCCATAGAGATGTTGATATGCCGTTAAACAAAATCAAGCAAACCAAACCCTTATAGATGTGAGTTCGGCTCTCTTCGGAAGGTAGTTTCATCATGTTCATCTTAAATCAGTAAAACTATATCCAAGTCAACGTTTTATGCGTTACTCGCTACAATCAACTGTATTGAATTCAAATTTGTGTTTGTCTTCAGGGTGATCGGATCACGCTAATCGATTATGATTTTCAACCAGAGGTTGATATGTTGTAAAACAAAAAACAACCAACCAACCAACCAATGAGCTATGACACCCGCCATGACACGTCGACACTTCAAATCAGCCTATTAATCTCCATATTTCTTTGCCAGGCTTCATCCTTACAACCGATATTTTCTGAAACAGAGAACCAACAAAATGCTTCCCTGATCGCTACAAGCTTTACCTCTTCATATCAGCGCTCAATCGTTATCTATCCTAGATATCTTCATATTCTGCGTTTCTATCTTCTCCTCTTACGTCTGTACAGCAATCATTCAGTCTCCCCAGAGGGGGCTTCCCTGAAATCCTGAAATCCCCCCCACTAGGTGAAATCCCCCCCCCCGAATGGAAACCCCTGACATAAAGCATTTTTATCTTCAAAATAAAAATTTATACTTCGGCATTAAATAACCCATACAGTTCGATATGCCGCTAAACAACATCAACCAAACCAGTTAAAATATTTGTATTTCGGCATTAAATAACCAAGAGGTTGATATGCCGCTAAACAAAATCAACCAAGCCAAACCAATGAAAATATTTAGATATCAGTATTAGATAAATCATATAGGTTGATATGCTGCAAAACAAAATCAACTAAATGAGCATCAATACATTTGATTTGTAGTTTCAACAACAAATTTTTGAATTGCGTTCAAAATATTTAGTTGAAGCCATAAAATTGTGTTCAAAATATTTAGATTTCGGCTTAAATAACCCATTAAGATGTTGATATGCCGTTAAACAAAATCAAGCAAACCAAACCAAACCAAACCCTTATAGATGTGAGTTCAATTGTCTTTCGCAGTGTAGTTTCATCATGTTCATCCTAAAACAGTAAAACTATATCCGAGTCAACGTTTTATGCGTAACTCGCTACAATCAACTGTATTGAATTCAAATTTGCGTTTCTCTTCAGGGTGATCGGGTCACGCTAATCGATTATGATTCTCGACTGGTGTCATGCCGAAATGATTAAGCCAGGAGAAAATTTGTACTGCAAATTACTATTTGGTTTGTTTGCTTTCACTCTCCATATCCGCAAATATTATTCGGAATATCACCCAATGCTCCTTCCGAGCGTTATTAAATCGAATGCTGTCACTTTCCGGCTGATATTGCTAACGATACACGTTTTCAATTTATTAATTCTTTCTTTGGCAAACAATCGACAGACTTTCCCCGATACTTTTCCTCAAAATCCAAACATTCCTGCGTTCTTCATTACGGATATCCGTAGCTAATGTTTGCAGGTTGCGTTATTTGTCGTTTGCTTTTGGTAGAAAGTCAAAGATCTTCTGGGGTTATGAGGTGAGGGAAAGACTGGATTGGCAAGATGGTTGGGAAAGGAGGAAAACGAAAGAGATTAGGAAAAGGAAAGAAACAAAGTGAAAGAGAATTGGAAAAAGAAAATCTTTTAGAAAATACGACGTTGGTAAATTTAGAGAAAAAAACATCAGAATGTATAAGAAGGAAAGGGGGAGGAATCTCGAATTGAGAAGCGGAGATGCGGAAAAGGAGAAAGAATGAAAGTTGAAACTACAATATATGTATATATTCCTTGGCGATCGGGTTGGAATCAAAGTGTAGTACCTGTTCTCATCTCTAGTGCTCATAATGATATTAGTAGGTTTCGACATTTATTGACCGAGTAGCCAATTTTACACGAATTATTTTCTTCACTCCGTGGCCATAGCGTTAGGACCAAAGTATATTATCCGCTCTCCCCATATCTCGTGGCAAAGCTGATATTAACCGTGTCCTTATAAGGTATTCATTGACTGATCAGCCTGTGTGAGACGACATATATTTTTCTTTATATCTTCGCTTTGAAGCTGTGATAAATGCGTAGTATCTATTCTAATCTTTAATGGTAATGGTTTCTATATGAGGAAATATTCGGCTTTCATTAACTGAGGTGGGGTGGTGTCTGTCCTCATTTTTAATGATAATATTAGCCGTTTCTGTATAAGGAAACATTCCTTTTTCATTAAGCAACCAATGTTACATGAGTTACGCTTTCTTCACACCGTGGCCATCGGGATGGGATCAATATGTATTATCTGTTTTCATCTTTAATGATAATGGTTTCGGTATTAGCAAACATTCGTCATTCATTGACTGAGTTGTTAACGTTAATAACGATTTAAGATTATAAAATAATTCTCTTAGAAACATTTTCAGGAAAATCGGTTTCTCGACACTATTGTTATATTCCTTTCTAGTGGCGGCTTCCTTCCTCGTCACTGGTTGGAAGTCGTGTACAAGGTCAACATTGTAATATGGACGATTTATAATCAAGTGAGAAAATAAAACAAGAGGAATCAGAAAAAAAAACACGACCTTCTTTCAGAAACATCTTAAAATTTGAAGAACTGAAGCCAAATCTTCGGTCAACATTTAATTTTATGAGAATCAATTTTATTTTACGTTATGGAAGAATTCGCGTTTTACCATTTCTTCCAAATGACTATAACTAACCATTTTCACCAACGGTTTGATCTAACCATTTCTCCCCAAGAATTTAATGAATCCTGGGACGTCATTCTTTCCTTTTTTTTTTCATATTTATATTTATATTATATATATATATATACATTCAGTACACGATCTTCCACAATTTCCCGTTTTTGCTTCTTAACTATCTTTCCTTGTCAATTTTCTGTAATCAATTCACACAAGCCCTTTGAGTATTTTACATGGTGCTTCGACCAGCTTCTCTTGCCTTCAGCAAGTCCTTCTTCTGTGTGCCGTGTTCATTCAGGACGTGGCCAATCATAATTATTCACAACTTTCTAACCTTTGTAATTCTCAGCAATCTTTGTCTTCTTATCTTTTATATCTCTTCTTCTGACATCCATTTTTATACAAGCTTCTTAGTCGTTCCCTCTTGCGTTCAATAAGTCTTGTGAGTGTCAGATTTTCCAACTCTTCTTTTCTCATTTATCTACAAACATTAACTGTCTCTTCTGAAACTAAGTACCCTTCTTGTTCCCGTGCTCCTTAAAACATCATCGTTACTTATATCCTTCGTCCCATGACATTCTCAGCATCCATTTCTTGAACCACATCACAATTTCATCAAGCCTCTTCTTGTTTACGGGCATATCACGTTGAAACACCGGTTCTCCTACGATCACCAAAGTTAAGCAACGTCGAGCCTTATCAATAATTAGATGGGTGACTGCTGGGAGTAGCACATGCTATAAGCTTGGATATTTGGGCCGTGTAATGGATAATGGCCCGAGATTGTTAATCAGAGAACCGAGTTCCAATTCCAGTTGGGTTCGTTACAGTCACTTACGCGCAAATAACCTTGGGAAGAATTATGAATCCAGGTCTTCACTTCTATGAGTTAGTTAGTAAGACTTGTAAAACATTATTATCTAAAAACAAAATGTCTTCTGGCTTTAAATAACCTGCGAAGAGTTGATAAGCCATAAAAAAAAACGAATCAATCAATGAAACCTCTACTTCGCCTCTGAGGAAACTGTCTAGCATTCGTTAAAGGCCAAGTTTTTTTCAACTCCTGGCTTTCAAATCAATCTTTAAAGAAAAGATTGATACAATGTTCCAACTTATTCCCAGCAACTCAAACTACTAGCAGTCATGATGAACGGATGACTCCTCGAGGAGGCTCCATGGCTTGAGAAAATATTGGGCCTCAAACTCAAACCCGACCTCAAGTGAAACACTTATAGATGAGTCATCGCTAAATATGCAGGTAAAATGATCGACTCCCTGTACCGATCCAATAAGTATCTGAATCCTCATGTTATCCTCTATCGTCATAAGTGCCAGATAAGGCCGAAAATGGAGGACTGTTGTCATATTTGGGCATGAGTTTTTCAGACCTCACTTTCCAAGCTTGGTAGAGTTCAAAAGCGTTTCCGAGTTCTTTTTGGAGAAGAATTATTTTCCACCTTCCAATCTCAGAGGCGGGATAGTGCGAGTCTTCCATTGCTCTATCGCTACTTCCATGGAAAGTGCTCGGACGAACTACATTCCCTGGTTCTACCAGATCTAACCTTGACGGCAAGGACCTTCCATGCCACTTACATAGTAGCAAACCATCAACATTCCCTTCGTATCCAATCGGAAAGAAATATGTTCCAATCAAACAGCTTCTTTCCGCGAACAACTGCTGTTTTGGACAGACACACAAGAAAATGTAGCGTTAACCGTTATCCCCCACCCTATTCATATAAACTACCCCTTAACGTAACTCTCTACCTCGAGTAGAGTAAAACGTTATTTAAACTCTGTACTTAAACGTTATTCATAGCTTAGATTCTCAATGAGTGCATTCTGCGCGTTGCCTTTTGCCAAACTAAGCCAGCTTATTAAATAAGAAGAAATGACTTAACAAATGACTCGGTAAATTTTTAATCAAATAAATATGATGCGAGAAATACAATTTCGTGCCTTGTAGATTGGACAAACATTATTATTTTCACCATTAAATCTAACCAATGAAAATATCTTTTCTGTTTGAATTTATGGAATGAGGAGTTATTATTTACACAGTTTATTATCCAACTATTGTCCATATCTTTGTTGTAAACACAACACTTCAGTTGTTGGGTTTTCCTCAGGTATATAACATACAAAGAATTTTGAACTAAACTATTTAATCTATGTGGGGGAGACTGTTCTCGTTCCACTGATCATGTCTACGGATATCGTCTAATTCTTTTTTTTTATTTAGTACTCCTCAGTTATTATTTTATTAAGCAAGTCAGAAATGCCACACTAGCACGCAAGGGGTTACAGAGAGTGAAAGTAAGAGTAAAGAGGGGTGCTTGAGGAAATGACATACAGAAGGATGCGGATCAGGATCGAGGTCGCGATTGATATTACATTTGAATATTTGGACATTATAGTTATCAGGGAAGCAAGTAGGCGGAAGAAAGTTCCACTGTCGGGAAGTGCGAGAGAAGAATCTATTGGAGTAAAGAGGTGGTTACATTTTACTGTTTCAACAGTGAAAAGGTGGAACCTAGATGCCAATCTAGTAGCACGCTTAAATTCATGTAGTCCTGGCCCCCTAGAGAAAAGATCGTCAGAGCAGATGCCATGAAAAATATTTGTAGAAAAGACAGACGGAAGCCACATCACGTCTGTGAGAAAGTGATTGTAGACGAGATGTCAGATCAGGATATAGCACATTGAATATCCGTCGCTGGATTTTGTCGACGACCCCGAGTAGAAGAGCTGGGCCACCAGACTAGATATGGCAACAGTTTTCAGTGCAAGGACGAATGACAGATTTTTATAATTTGAATGATGGACTCAAGCGAGAAAAACCATCTGGCGCGACACAGAGAACAAACGTTTTTTTTTTTTTTTTTTTGCTTTTTTTTAAGGGTAGGTGAAGCTATTGATTCAATGTAGTTGTCCCCCCCCCCCCACATGTCAGTGGAAATCGTGAGACCAAGAAAGCGCAGAGAGACTCTCACGTGGAGTTTGGGGCTCGCCAGTTTCCATTACACACTGCCCGACCAAGGGATTGAACTCACAACCACTATGTCACCAGATTCATTAACATATATCCACTTGGTAATAGGGTATATAAAATACATCTTATTTTCCGTTTTGTATATTGGAGATAAATTAATTCGTCAAAATGTTTTTTGTCCTATGATACAATCGATGATACATCAGAGTCCATTTATATCAGAGAGAGATGAAAACAGGCTATAGCCTG